TGTTTATTCTACCACCTCGTGTAATAGAGCTTTGCAGTCATATGCATGTAATATTTAATTTTTAATTTTTTTGGATGTTTTAAGTTTAAAGTACTATAGTAAGTAGAATGAGATTGTATAAAGGCTAGAATGAGGATTAGCTCAGAATGAATATCTTATTTAAAAATTCACTTTACAATAGTTATAGAAGAACCCTTTGAAGAACTAGTCTTTGTCAAATGCAGTATGGATGATATAAATTCTTATTTTATTCAGTACAAATATGACAAAGTTGAATTACTTTTAGTAAGATACAGGAACACTGTCAAATCACATTTATGTCAAATGAAAGTGCAGGAAATGGGAATACTGAAGTTTCTGAGAGATTCAAGAAGAATCAGTGTTTCATAGCATTATATTATCCCTTTAGCACACGGGAGAACCAGTTGCCGTCAAAACGTTTAATCAGCTCTCACACATGCGACCACATGAGGTACAGATGCGTGAGTTTGAAGTACTTAAGAAGGTCAACCATGAGAATATTGTAAAACTCCTTGCTATAGAAGAAGAGGTAAGCACTGTTTTTATGGTACCTTTTAGTTGTGCTACATGCCATTCCTGTTGTGACTGAATATTTCTAGTGTTACTTTATATTAGATGAACCTCTATACATATAATATAAGTAAAGTACTGTAATTTAGTGTTCTTAGGCATACTGATTCCTATCTTAGTATCACAAAGGAGAACTGGATAATAGGATTAAATTTTGACATTTTGCAAACCTGGAATTGTTTCCCTTTGAGCAGCAAGAAGGACGGGGGAAGGTGATTGTGATGGAGCTTTGTACCGGAGGCTCGCTCTTCAACATTCTGGACGATCCAGAAAATAGTCATGGCCTAGAGGAGGACGAGTTTATCTTGGTGCTTTCACATCTTGGTTAGTGTTCCATTGTATGGGATTTTTTTATTTCTTTCTTTTGTCAACATATCATCATAGTTTTCGTCAAGTTTGGTGACATGTTTGTTATTTTATTCCACAATGATTACTTTCAGGTTAAGATTATCTTCTTCTTCTTCTTCAGTACCATAACTTTAAGTAATCTTAATAATATGATAGACAAATACTTCTTTCAGGTTGTTTAAATAATTCTGTATTTTCCTTATTTATTACAGCTGCAGGGATGAAACACTTGAGGGATAATAGTCTTGTACATCGGGATCTCAAACCCGGGAACATAATGAAGTTTACAGACGTTGATGGGTCTACTATTTATAAGCTAACAGATTTTGGTGCCGCTCGAGAATTACAGGATGACCAGCAATTCATGTCTCTCTATGGAACTGAAGAGTATTTGGTGAGTTTCAAAACTCTGAGCTCAATTCTGTTTTAACTTCACTTTAAGGATGTAATAATAACATCCAGAAGTGGCAATTTAGTCTGTGCATTAATATTAGATAACTTTGTACCCAAGATAAATCCCGTTGACATGTCTTGCAGCACCCTGACATGTATGAACGTGCAGTGCTCAGAAAACCTGTCGGAAAGACCTTTGGAGCCAGGGTGGATCTGTGGTCAATAGGTAGGCCTGTTCAGTAGTTGTTGTTTAGAGTCTGCTGATCTAAGGTTTATGAACTAGATATTACTATAAGTATATGATTATTTTATATATACAGTTTGCAAGAAACTGTAATTGAATGGCCTGAAAAAATGGCCTGAAAAACTTGAGGATCTTGATAATCTCTTGGCTGCATTAACTTAAAAGAATGGCAAGTACAGAGTATCACGATTTCAGTTTGTTTTTGTAAGCATTAATAAATTCATCTTTCTGTATGGCAACAGGTGTGACACTTTACCACGTAGCCACAGGACAGCTTCCTTTTCGCCCGTATGGAGGTCGGCGTAACAAAGAGACCATGTACCACATAACAACGGAGAAGGCCCCAGGAGTCATATCAGGTGTACAGACTTCAGAAAATGGGCCAATTGACTGGTGCACAGAGCTCCCTGAAACTTGCCAATTGAGCCTGTAAGTGTATAATCATATTAAGTATTTAGAATGTTTTGGTGGGTACAAATCAAGAGAGGGCAGATAAAGTTTTAATGATGTTCCAGAAAATCATTAAGAAGTTTTACATGATGGTAGACTTCATTTAGCTTGAATTTGATAGAGTTTTTGACAGATTTGATTGTTCTTGTTTTCTTTTAATTTTCAGGGGGCTTCGTAAGTTGGTGACTCCCCTACTAGCAGGCCTTCTTGAAGTTGACCCCCAGAGGATGTGGAACTTTGAGAGGTTCTTCCAGGAAGTTACAATGATATTGAGCAAGAAAGTGGTTCATATCTTCTTTGTAAACAAGGTGCAACCTCTTACAGTATACATGGATCCAGAACACAGGTGAGTGCATGAAAAACAAATTAAAACTTGGGAAAATAAAAATCAGGGTATCTTATTGTCCTTTTTTCTTTGCTAAGTTCTTTATACATTATGCACAATAGTCATTGACTTTGCAAAAGTATGAGACAGTTGGAGAGAGTTTTTTGATACTAATTATAGATGTTCTCAAGAAATAGATGAGCAGACTGAGTTTGATTTTCAAATATCCTTGTAGATTCTTTTAAAAACATTTTCTTTCCCATATCTAGGTATGAAGAACTGCAATACTTGATATGTGAACAGACAGACATGAATCCAGTCAACCAACTTCTCCTCTATGACAAGAAACACTTGAGTGACATTGTGGCTCCAGACCAGCCATCATCATCTTATCCATCAACAACTCCTCGAACACCATTGGTTCTCTTCTCAAAACAAGATGATGACATCACACTCACTCTGCCAGAAACCCCAGGTAGGAGTGCCAGAATATCAGGTCAAAGGATATCAGTTTTCTCAAGGCTTGTGTATTTATCTGTGCCTTTTTCCAGATAATTTCAGGTTTTATAGTAAGAGTTGTTAGCACCTTTTGAGCTTTTCTTGTGATCTTGAGGAGGGGTCATTACTTCTGTAATTTGATTCTTTCCTTTCGTTTCACAGCTGTCAAATTTGGAAGCTTCCCAACCTTGGTAAGTGTAGAACATGATGCTGCAGTGGGCAAGTCCATGTGTTCAGTCGGCCATGCTATCAAGCGCAAGATCGACTACTTCTCAAAATGTGTTCACCTGATGGATTATAGTGTTCTCATGTTCATGTAAGTTATCAAGTTAGGTTTAGGTGCTCATATGCTCATATATGCAACATAGATGTATAGACATTATTTTGTGAATTAAATTTTGTATTAGTGATCTGATATGTAATTTCTTCAATACGAATAAATTAATTAGTATTGAAAACTTCAGTAATGATAATTACAGGTCATCCTTATAATTATGATAATCACAAAATGGTTTAATGGGATCTTTGTTCTTCAGCGAAGTGATTGTTACCCAGTTAACGACTCTGCAAGACCGCGTTGGCCATGTCCAGTCCCTTACATCAGCTGTTAGTGATCGTTTTAGTCAGCTGGTTGCCAATCACCGAAGATTCCTTATGTTAACTCAGATGTGTGGAGGAAACCAGGAGAGCAGCTCTCAACCCCTAAGAGAACGGCTAGAGGATCTGGTCAACAACAAAGTTGATGCTGAGAAAGCTGTAAGTACAGATAACTGTATTGCAAATTTCTTCAATTTGTAATACTTCACTATGCATGAATATTCCCTCCCATAGTCCCTTCTGTCTCCACTTTTGGCATCACTTCCCTCCTGCTCCCTCCCTTGTTGCAAGCTATATCCTCCTTCCTTCTGTTGACTCTCCCTCCCCACACCCATCAGTATTCCCCAAAATATAGGCAGTAAGGCTAACACAAGTTCAGCAGAGTTACATACATATTTGTTACTAAACCGCCAAGGCCACACCAACCCTGGAGTCATCACCCACCCAATCACCAGCCCAGAGGCTTGAAGAGATGATGGGTGCCATAGTCCTCGAGGAGACGGTGGTGAGTGCAATTGTAACTAGAGATTAGAGTGTTTTGAAAGATGCAAGCAAGCATGGATCACACTGCACTGGCACCAGATCCCTCGTTGCAGGGGCTTTTTGTGGTTACAAGCAATATTTGTCTTAGCTGATTAATTGTGTGGGAGTTTTCCTCTTACTCAAATTTCTCATATAAATTTGTATTATACTCTTGGTTATCTATGCTTTAAAAAAAAGTATTGTATATATCAGGAAAACATAAGACTTTGTGTGATGATTATAAATTTGTCATTGATAAAAGTCAATGGGAAAAAAAATGTTTTCCATTGTATATCAGAGTGTACATAATGTGCTCTTTTGTTGGTTTAATGTATCACAAAATAATGATTAAAAACTGAAATTTCACTGGCTTCCAAAATCTTCGTTGATTTCTCCAGATCTGAAAAAATATGGGTAATAAAATCAATATTATGGATAAAAATAATCATGGTGACAATGATAATGATAAATAAACTGAACCTGTACAATTGCCTACCATTAATTCATGTTAGGTACAATGGGAAGTACAAAAAAAAAATTAAGACTGAGAACCTGTCATTGTTTTATAAAGATTTAGACATTTTTTTATGCTAAGAAGTAATGAAAACTGATTTTTTATTTTTTATTTTTTTGTCTGTCTTTTTTTACCTTTTTCTTTTCTTTAATTTTCTTTTTCCTTCATTTTATTTGCCACTTCCGCATAAGAATGTCTTTGTCCTTTATGTTTCTTTCTCACTTGTGCTCCACACGCACCCTAGAGCCTTGCAGGTTCTTTAATCCCATTTTGTGTGCTGTGTGTGTACTAATATACAGAAATAAGTTGGTGTATATATTAGATGAATAATTTTTTTGTTTGTTTGTTTGTTAGAAGCTTGGGACTTATGAGAGGTATGAAATTTAAAGATTGATTGAAAGGAAGGAAAGTGAAGGATGGGATATGTCTTATGTGATATGCAGAAATCAGAATGGTCAGTATCTGTAGATGAGAATATTTTTCTAATTTGTACATGATCTGTTGATGAATAACCTGCAGAAAGATGGCAGTAAAGTATGAGGGAAAAAATATTGTAGAAAATTTAAAGGAAACATTACCATTGAATAATTACTTCTTACATAATTTTCATTATTACTTTATTATCTAAGCATTAAACATTTTTTATTTCTCCTGTTTAGCTATTTCTTTTGTTTATATAATGAATATACTGTAGATGAATTAGTAAATGTAGTCTTTAAAAACGATTTCTGTTTTTATTTGATTAAATTTTTATTTTTATTTTTTATTTATTATTATTTTGTTTTTTCCTACTATCCATCATTTGATTATTTATTCTCACACATCACATATTCATAACACACCTCTTTTACTAAAGGAGCATTACATTACAAGGAAGATGTATGAAATCTGTATTCATTCATCCTTTAAGAATACTTAATATGAATTAGTCCTCAGGCTCATTGCGTAAATAGAGATCATGTTAAATTAGTCCATACATCCTTGGGCTAGCTTTTCCTCCCTTGTCAATGCATATGGCCTTGACATTAAATCCAGGGCAGATGGATCACGTTTCTGCTAGGCATTACAGGATTAGAAACTACTTTCAGCATTAATATATATATTAAAAACAATAAGTTGCTAGATAGACATTAAAGGATTTGGGATGTTTGATTTTAATGAATTAGATCTGATGTGTCCTCTAAGGCCATATGTTAAGAATTTGACGTGTTTGCATTTAGCTATATATATTTATATTTATTTTATCCCCTTCTGTTTCTATGGCTTTCACTATAATAGGTTTGTAATGATCAGATAACAAATATGGAGTGGTCATCAATATGCTAGTCCTAAAGTTCCTGATACTATGTTAAAGGCTTATAAAATATGAATACTTAGGACATCATTCCTCTTTCATTTTAACATAGTCATCCAAAAGCTATTGGCAGTATTACTTTGCTCTGGAATCCTTGCAGTTAGCATCAAAATTATATTTCCACACATGTACCTTACATTTTTATTGTATATGACTATGATTTCTGGTTCTTCTTGTGTTCAGTATATAAGAATGGGTACCATCAGCAGGGGTTTACAAAATAAGTATCTTGAGTTATGTACCGTGTTTTGGCTTAATTTGGCTCACTTCAGGTAAGTTTTAACATTGTTTGGTATGTTTTGTCTTTTAGAATTCCTCTATGATTGCAGGGACCGTCTCAAGGGAAATGTGATACAGAACATTGCATAGCTCTTCCATTTTTGCAGTAGTCAGATTTGAATTGATATTTAATGTACCGGATAGGATTGTCATTATGTAGGACAACTTAGAAGTTTTAAACGAAATGAACCAAGGGTTTCGAAATGAGGGAAAATGAGTGAAAGGGATGGAGATATAATCTGCTGCAGTAAGTTGAGTACTAAGGACTCTCAGATAATGAAATGAAACATGCAGATTGCAGTTGTTATAATGTACATAAATGTATATAAATGAAGAAAACTTCCTTGGCTTATACTTAGTGAAATTTCCATTGCTTTATAATGCTTAATGTAACTAGCTAGCAGTTCACTGCCCACTGCCTTTTACCTAGATATCTAAAAAGATCCAAAAATCTGATAAGATATTCAAGATTTAATTATAAGGCATGTTTAAATAGAATTAGGTTTAGTTAGTTAGGTGCTTTGTCTTCTTTATATAATGTGGGTTGTTTTGTTTTAAGTGCTGCATACTTTAACATTATGCAAAGCAAGGGAAAATGAAAGTTGATACATTGTTAGATCTACTTATCATTTTTTCTTTTTCTCTTTGATTTTACTATTAGCCATTATTATTGATTTTCCAGCAAAATTCTTCACAAAATGATTTAGAGAATGAAACTATGTTTTTTCATTTTTATTTACACATTACATACAAATATTTTTTATTTATTGAAGCCATTTCCATAAAGCAAAAGTAATACATAAGTCTTCCTTTCTTAGGTTCGTGACTCCCTCAATGCCATGCTGCCAGTCGTGAACCAGCTGTATGAGAGGGTGGTCCGAGGCGGTCAGCTTCGTCGACAGTGGCAGCAGACTGGGAACAATGCCTTGGCCGTGGAGAGGGCACCAAACAAAGCCTCTACTTATGTCACCAAGCTCAGGGAGTCTTGGCAGCACTTGCTCAGAGATAGAGCAGCGAGAAGTAAGTCCATAGAGAAATTTCATAGAATTGTTTGAAGTCTCATGAAAGAGAGCTTGTAGCTATGATGTTTATCTTATTTTTTCAAGAACTGGGGCACTCTTAGGTATGGAAAACAGGCTCAGTGAAAGAGAAGCAAACAGTAGATGGTTCAGACAGAAGTAATGATGAACAAAGTGAGTCAACAGAAATGGGAAATGGAAGAAAAATTGCTCCCTCATTATTATTGATGTTATTATTGTTAATGTTATTGTTAATATTATCATTATCATTATTATTATTGTCATCATCATCATTATGATTATTATTATTATTATTGTTATTTCTTCTTATTATTATTACCATTATATTATTGTTTTTTCCCAATT